TCCGAACGTCATATGGCGGGGAAGCTGGGTGTGGGTGGTCGCGAAGAGTCGTTTGGAAGTTTGGTAGAGCTTGAACTGCCCTCCCACAAAGTGGGGGTATTGGCCGGCGTCCCATGAAAACCCTGGCACTGGTGAGAACGGTGTGTCCCCACGTGCTAGTAATTGTTGTTGTTGTTGTTGTTGTTGTTGTTGTTGTTGTTGTTGTTGTTGTTGTTGTTGTTGTTGTTGTTGTTGTTGTTGTTGTTGAACTCTCATTCTTGAAGAATAATTATTGTTGATCCCCCCCCACCGGTGCACATTGTTTTTTTTCGATTGAAGTGCCACCCCCGGGGCTCGCACCTTGTTTTTTCTCAAGGAAAGTCTTCCTGCTCAAACTGTGCCCCTGCCCCCCGGGCTACAACAACAACGGCTCCCGCCTGAGACTTCCTCGATTTTTACTCAGGACCCCCGCTCCCGCCTGAGACTTCCGCGCAATTTACTCAGGAAAGGCGCTCCCGTCTGAGACTTCCTCGCAATGTAATCAAGACCCCCGCTCCCGCCTGAGACTTCCGTGCAATTTACGTGGGAACGGCGCTCCCGCTTGAGACTTCTTCGAATTTTACTCAGGACCCCCGCTCCTGCTGACATTTCCGCGCAATTGACTCAGGAACGGCGCTCCCGCTTGAGACTTCCTCGCAATTTAGTGAGGACCCCCGCTCCCGCCTGAGACTTCCGTGCAATTTGCTCAGGAACGGCGCTCCCGCTTGAGACTTCCTCGCAACTTAGTCAGGGCCCCCGCTTCCGCTGAGATTTCCTCACAATGTACTCAGGACTGCGCTCTCGCGTGCGACGCCCTCACAAATTATTATGGAATTGCGTTTCGGCGCTCAGGAACCACGCACGCGCCAAGGACGCCTTCACAACGTGGTATCTTCCCTCTTCCTTCGTCCTTCCCCCTCCCCTTCCTCCCACTCTCCCTCGTTCTTCCCCTCCTCCTCTTGCAGGGCCCGCGCCAATTCCAATGGCGGGCAGAGAGATGTACGCCCCCGAAGGATTGTCCGCCCGTTCCGGTTTGCCCGTACGTCTAAGCCCGCCGGCCCCAGCAAAGAGAAATAATCCCCCCGAAAGGGGTGTGATCGAAGACGAAGAGGGCGGGTATCGAGGGTGTAGGGTATACGTGTTGAATGACTCGCGGGCAAGTAAGAGCGTACAGCCTTAAAATGGTTGTTGTTGTTGTTGCTGCTGCTGCTGCTGCTGCTGTTGTTGTTGTTGTTGTTGTTGTTGTTGTTGTTGTTGTTGTTGTTGTTGTTGTTGTTGTTGTTGTTGTTGTTGTTGTTGTTGTTGTTGTTGAGTTCTCATTCCTGAAGAATAATTATTGGTGGTCCCCCCCCACCGGTGCATACTGTTCTTCTCAATCAAACTGTGCCCCTCGACGCTCGCACACTGTTTTTTGACAGGGAAAGTCTTCCTGCTCAAACTGGGCCCCTGGCCCCCGGGTTACAACAACAACGGCTCCCGCTTCAGACTTCCTTACAATTTAGCCAGGACCCCCGCTCCCGACCGAGACTTCCTCGCATTTTATTCAGGAATCGCGCTCTCGCTTGGGACTTCCTTACAATTTATTCAGGAATCGCTCTCCCGGCGCTCTGGAGTCGCGCTCTCGCTGGAGGTTTGCTTGCAACTTACTGATTTCGAAGAACGGCCTTGCGTTGGAATTTCTTGCAATTTGCCAACGCGCTGCGCTCCCGACACCCAGGCACCCAGGAGTCGCGCCCGTTGTGGCCCCATGTGCATGCCCTTCGTGGCCCCGCTGTCGCCATTTGTGTCCCCCTCACTGTCCTACGTGGCCCAGTTGCTACCCTCAGTGGCACCATAGTTGCCTTCTATGGCCCGCATTATATGCACTTCGTGGCCCCCGCTCGTTCGCGGTCTTCGTGGCCCCATACGCATTCCCTTCGTGTCCCCGCTGTCGCCCTTCGTGGCCTATTTCGTGCCCTTCGTGGCCCTGCTGTCGTTCTCTCTCGCTCTCGCTTTCGCTCGTCGTCGCCGTCTTCGTCGTCGTCGCCGTCGTCTTCGACGTCGTCGTCGTCGTCGTCGTCTTCGTCGTCGTCGTCGTCGTCGTCGTCGTGGTCGGTCCCCTGTCCGTCCCTCTTGGGGTCGGGTCGACGGTCCGCGGCCGCCCCGCCGATCAGCGCTGCCGCTCGCCAGGCCGACGGTCCGCGGCCGCCCCGCCGCTTGCGGGGGCCCGGCCTGCATGGAAGAAAGGTATACCCCCCAAAAGGGGTTCGATCGAAAACGAAGAGGGCGGATATCGAGGGTTTGGGAAATACGCATTATTGGACACTCGAGCATATAAGGGCGAACAGTCTTAAAATTGTTGTTGTTGTTGTTGTTGTTGTTGTTGTTGTTGTTGTTGTTGTTGTTGTTGTTGTTGTTGTCGTTGTTAGTAAGGGCGGGGCGCCCCGACCCGTGTCCCACAACCCCGCCCCCACAACACTCACAACAACCGGAATTCCCAAGGATTCCTAGGAATTCCTAAGGGTTCCTAGGACTTCCTCAGGGTCCTAGGATTTCTTAAGGGTTCGTAGGAATGCCGAAGGATTCCTAAGACTTCGAAAGGATTCCTAGGAATTCCAACGGATTCCTAAGGATTCTTAGGAATTCGTAGGAATTGCAAAGGATTCATTGGAATTCCGAAGGATTCCTAGGAATTCCTAAGGATTCATTGGAATTCCCAAGGATTCCTAAGAATTCTAAAGGATTCCGAGGACTTCCTAAGGATCCATCGGAATTCCCAGGGATTCCTAACAATTCCTAAGGATTCCTAGGAATTTCTAAGGATTCCTGGGAACTCCTAAGGATTCCTAGGAATTCCTGAGGAAGTTATGAATTTCAAAGGATTCCTAGGAATTCCTAAGGATTCCGAGGAATTCCCAAGGATTCCTAGGAGCTCCTAAGGATTCCTGAGAATGCCGAAGGATTTCCAGGAATTCCCAAGGATTCCTAAGGATTCTTAGGAATTCTTAGGAATTCGAAAGGATTCCCAGGAATTCCGAAGGATTCCTAGGAATTCCTAGGGATTCCTAAGGGTGTCTAGGAATTTTCAGGAATTCCAAAGGATTCCTTGGAATTCCTAAGGATTCCTAGGAATTCCGAAGGATCCTTAGGACTAACATTCCTTGGAATTCCGAAGGGTTCCTAGGAATTCCTAAGGATTCCTACGAATTCCTCGCTTCGCTGGTGCACACATGCTTTTTGCCGGCAGGAATTCGTTGGCACCAGGGAGGAGGTCCGGAAACGGCGTTGTTGTGGTGTTGTGTGTGTGGGGGGGTAGTTGTTGTGGTTGTTGCCGGGTGGGGGGTAGTAGTTGTGGTTGTTGCGGGGGGGGGTCCCGACGGGTCGGCGCTGGCCACCCTTGCTTTGTTGTTGTTGTTGTTGTTGTGGTTGTTGTTGTGGTTGTGGTTGTGGTTGTGGTTGTTGTTGTGGTTGTTGTGGTTGTGGTTGTGGTTGTGGTTGTGGTTGTTGTGGTTGTGGTTGTGGTCGTGGTTGTGGTTGTGGTTGTGGTTGTGGTTGTGGTTGTGGTTGTGGTTGTTGTTATTGTGGTTGTTGTTCTTGTTGTTCTTGTTGTTGTTGTGGTTGTGGTTGTGGTTGTGGTTGTTGTTGTGGTTGTTGTGGTTGTGGTTGTGGTTGTGGTTGTGGTTGTTGTGGTTGTGGTTGTGGTCGTGATTGTGGTTGTGGTTGTGGTTGTGGTTGTGGTTGTGGTTGTTGTTATTGTGGTTGTTGTTCTTGTTGTTCTTGTTGTTGTTGTGGTTGTGGTTGTGGTTGTTGTTGTTGTTGTTGCTGCTGCTGCTGCTGCTGCTGCTGTTGTTGTTGTTGTTGTTGTTGTTGTTGTTGTTGTTGTTGTTGTTGTTGTTATTGCGTGTTAGTGTATTTTTCGGCGTTTGTATTTTTTTGCGCCCAAGATCCGCCTGTAGGATGTAGGAGGACATGCCCGACCTAAGAGTCCCACATGGGGGGGCAGTGAGCCCAGGACCACCCAGTCCTGAAGCGGTCCAGCAGCCGTCTCGGCGAGACTTGGCGCAATCTATCCAGGAGTCCTGCTCTCGCTTCAATGCTGGCTACACTTTTGGTCTGGACTCCCACGATTCCTTTTCAATAATGGGTCAATCGAAGAAGGAATAACGCCACAAACATAAACTTTTGGCGCTCCGCGCGGGTTTCTTGGATCCGGGCTGGGTTCCCCCCCAGCGGCGCCTCCGGCGCCGCCCCTAGCGCGCTCCGCGCGCCAGGGAGGGGGGTCCAGCGCAGGTCCGAGAAGTCCGCGCGCAGCGCCGAAAGTTTATGTTCATAGGATTTGTTCTTCTTCTAATCAAAGTGCACATGGAGGAGGAAGAAGAGGAGGAGGAGGAGAAGGAGAAGGAGATGGAGGAGGAGGAGGAGGAGGAGGAGGAGGAGGAGGAGGAGAAGGAGAAGGAGAAGGAGGAGGAGGAGGAGAGGGAAAAGGAGGAGGGGGAGACTCCTGTACCTGTCGCGTCTCTCAGAGGACGGTTTAGGAATGCCCTGGAGTGCACGTGTTCGCCAGCCGACCTGGTATTCCTCGGCTCGCCTCTTCACCTCTGTTGATCTTGGGGGGCGGCTGCGGGGTCAATGTCGAGTAGCCGGCTCCGGGGCTCTCGCTCTGAGGGCAGCTTCTCGTCTTGGATACTTTTCTCACCACCCACCAAACCACCCCAACCCAACCTGAAGCCCTCAATTTGCCTTCCATTTCCAGTGGGGGGGGGGTCGGGGAACGTTGAAAAAACACATGGTACTCGTACCCCCCCCAACCCGAAATTCGGGTCAAATTCGGGTCTTCGGGTTGGGCTGGGGTGCTCTGGTAGGTGGTTATTTTCTGAGGGTCCCGAGGCCCGGGAGTTGCCCCGCCGCAGGAGAGCAGCAGAAGCTCAGTGGCGCGTGTCTTGCACTCGCCAGAGGTCTGGGACCGCTGCGCTGCTTCTTCCTTCTCGCCCGTGCCGCCCCAGGAGCATCTCGGCCCGCGGCTGGCGCCCTTGTGTGCTGATGCGCCGCCTGGGGGGGGGGCAGCAACGAGGAGGAGGAGGAGGAGGAGGAGGAGGAGGAGGAGGAGGAGGAGGAGGAGGAGGAGGAGGAGGAGGAGGAGTGGAGGAAGAGGAAAGTGAGGAGGTCGCGTCGCGGAAAAGTTGTGATTGAGCAAATTTCTTTCAGTTTTGGGCTTCGGGAGGCTCGCTTCGGGCCCCAGCACTGTCACACATCGGCGCAGGATGAAATTTGGTCGCATGCCACGAAAACCTCATAGCATCGGATGTCCTTCCTTTCTCCCCTATTCTGCTTGCCCAAGGGTTTCTTACTTGGTTTTTGCAAGGTTGCTGCCTGGGATTCTTGCGTTGCCCGTTCCTCCATAGGGACATTCGGCATTCTGCGAATTGTGAGCACATGTATGCCACGAGTGCGTTTTTCCTGAGGGTTTCAAAGGGGGAGGCAATTGATGACTGTGACATGGATGTGCGTGAATATGGATGCTTATACTTACCTGCCCACGGAAAGGTCGAGATACGGCTGGTCAGCGAAGCTCGGATACTAGCAATGGCAAGAGGATGATGTTAGACGATTTGCTGCTGGTATACGCTTTCATGTACTCAGCTCTCACATGTACGGCAGGCGGATGCTCGAATACTACACTCGGTTTAGCGCCGTCACCTCTCTGCTTCAAACCAGTGGTAATGTAATGGGATATGATTTGGAATCGTGCGGCAAACATATCCTACTTCTCTTCTCGCTTGCTTCCGAGTCCTGAACACGGTTCCAGAAAATAGCATGCCGCCACCAGTCACGCGCGGGAAACACTGGACAGAGATGAAGGGGATGCGAAGATGCTGCAGCTAACAACTAACGACGGGATGCTGATAGCAATATCGATGTGTGTGGACAGGAACGCCTCACGATGTACGAATCTATCGTGAAGCTGGAACGCTTCACGATAAACGAACATAGCTATTGTATCCTCCTCCTCCTCCTCCTCCTCCTCCTCCTCCTCCTCCTCCTCCTCCTCCTCCTCCTCCTCCTCCCCCCCCGTCATCCCCAGATCCCCGACGACTCGATTTTCTCAGTCGCAGGCCTCCAGACTTCCTGATCTCTTCACGGGGCCAGCTTCTCGATCCGATCCTTTTGTCTACGGCCCCGGGTGCCGAAGATGGCGGAAGCGACCCGGCGCGACCTGTGATTTTTCGCCAGGCAGGCCTCTCGTATGCGGCATTTGGGGGGCGCGGGGTGACGAAACCCAGCCACACAGGCCGCAACAGCTCCCGACCCCTTCACCCTGGATTGGTTTTCATCCCGCATCCCACGTTGAGAGTCCCGGGAGCCGAAAACGGCACCCAGAGGCCGGAGCGACGGAAAAACGCCCGGCTTGACAGCGAAGGAGCCTCTAGGATGTCTAGGGCTGCCGCATGGCATGGAACGACAGGCAGGCCGCGCACCAGAGACCACCTGTCGTCCAGGGGCCCCTCCTGCGGCAGCGTGCGTCTAGGCCTCCCAGATGGGGTCTCAGTAGATGGGGTCGGAGGCTCGATATGGAGCCCGACTTTCTCAGCGCCGACGTCGCCGACGCCTCGCCGATGTCGCCGATGCATCGGCGATGCATCGGCGATGCGGCGCGATCCTCCTGCCCCGCCTTCTCGGACCCCATCTGGGAGGCCTCTTGGTGCGGCTCGGGGGAGCGGGGGCCTCCCGGGCGCAGCGGCGGGAGGGGAGCGGAGGTGCGCGTCGGAGTCGCGGCTCCGGGTGCTGCCCTTCCAGTAG